TAACGCTGAATTACTGGTGCTTCTCACCATCAGTCGCAATGTGGTTAGTCACTTCTTTAATTATCAATATTTAACTTTTTTATGAATGAATAAATCTGTTTGACTATCAAAGTCTTGTAATTTATTCAACTCAGTGATCAAGCACCCGGTTTGTGTGATTACACCGCTGCATGCAAGAATAAATTAGCATCTTATAGTAGTTTAACTATTTACTCACTAGGCTGCTAATCTGCATTTACTAATGTTATTGAGATTTTCAGAATTGCTTATGTGAATATAACAATACTTCCATCGACATTCTCCTTAAGCGCAAAAGTGGGGCTAGCCTTACATGTCTTTTAAGTGTAAATAATTGTAAATTAACATCTTCGAGTTTTAAAAGTTTTGAAATAAAAACTTGGATCACTTATATAAATTCTCTTTTGTTATAACGAAAAGAAACTATCATGACAAGGAAAAACTGGGGGAAAAATCTTTCCAAGCTTTCTGAAATATTCGTCAGTACAATGGATGAAATAACAGTCACCGTAGTAACTTGGAAAACATGATTTGGTGATAGGAGAAATTCGTGCATTTTTATCTTCATAGATGGAATTATTCCTTCGAGTTATATACAGCGTACTGAATGAGAAATATTTGTTCCTAACAAACAAGCTTGCATTATTGTTCAACCAGTAATTGACAGAATAGCAATTCTCATTAATCGAATTATCATGTATTTGAGGTATCTTCACTCGAGTGGTGTGCGCTCTGTGATTGTTACCAGCGGTACATTATCACCATTAGATTCATTTGTTAGCAGTCTTGGCATAAGTTTCCCGGTAATACTGGAAAATCAGCATGCCGCTAGCTTGGATCAAATTTTGGGAGCACGTATTCGTTACAGTCAAGGTGGAATTGATCTTTGCGGCACTTTCCACAGACGGTATGTAATTTTTAGAGGATTTGTAAAATCAACGTTTTGCATCGGTAAATACCAATTTGATTTAGTTTTATAGTAAAATTGTCGCGTAGTTTTTTTATAAAGAACTTTAAAACCTTAAAATTAATACTTTTTCTGGTTTTTGATGAGGTAGAATAAGTCTTTCAGCTGTGCTTCATCAGTATTAAGCGAAGTCATATTGCTATCGATTTTATTTTCCATATCACTGTCACTGTTGTAGGAATGTAAAATAAAGTGATTTATTTTCTTTCTAGGTTTTATGCAGTTCTTTTTACGGAACTTAAATTTTGAAATGAACTTTGCGGAATAAAATCAAAATTTCATTTGCTATTACCAAGAGTGGTTCATTTCAAATTTACTTCACGCTCATGTTTCTTGTTTTTAATTTAATTCGCTTTGATTTGAATTAATTTATGATTAGGAGCAGTGCAGGATATATTTATGGACTTGGTGAGGTTATCATCCGTGCTTGTCAAATCATTCCTGATGGTATCTTGGTGTTCTTCTCATCCTATGTTGTGATGAATTCATGTCTAAAATTCTGGAAGGTTTGCATTTGCCTATTAACACTGATAACACTATTACGTTGGTGCCTATCTCTGTCACACTACTTTTATGTTATTGTTGCATCAGTAAAGCATGTTTAGATGTGAAATTCAAAACTTGAATAAGCTGAAATAACTCTTCAAGCCAATATTCTGGAATTTATTAAGAATTGTGATGCACGACATTGTAGCAAAAGTGCGCGGCATAAAATTGACTTCTTTCGATTTCAAAGTTATATATATTCAAATCCTAAACAAAAAAAGAACAAATTTTTGTGAATTAAATTTAATAAATTATAAAATAAAACAAAATTTAATAATTAAAAATTAGCATCAATGAGATCCTAATACCATAGGATTTTTTGATCGTTTAGTGCAATATTGATTTTCGTATTGCCATACTTTTAAGGTTAATCCTCAACTTATAAAATTAAAATTGATTCATAGTTGTTATGGCTGTTAACATTCTTATAGACAGCGAAATTCGGTGCGGCGTTTATGTGGGAAACAATAATGAACCATAAAGACACATTCATTGAACCGAAATCTAAATTGGAACTGAAAGCAGTTCTACTACAATTTAGGCAAAAAGTGAGAGAAAGTAGTGGTAGTGGTGCCATCTTTTTTGCTGTTTGTAGAGCTAAGGTAATTTTGCGATACGGTTGTTTTTATTTCACTGTTTTGAGGTTTGGCCAGACTACATAAGAATTGGAATTCATCTCAAATACGATTTCTTTTTATATCAAGTGTATTTTTATATCGAGTAATTTAAAAATTTATTGAAAGCTGTTAATGGTTTATAAATGATGGCATTGATTCATGCTAATTTTTATCTCAAAACCTTACTATATTCTAAGTTATTCTTATTCTTTGGATCGTAGCATTTTTGAGGTAAGCGAAGGTATCGACTTCTCAGATAATGAAAGCCGCGGTGTTATCGTGATCGGTATTCCGTATGCTCCAACAACAAATCCTAGAATTGAACTAAAAAAACAATTTCTCACCAAACAAAGGATAGGTGTCGCGAAGGAGGAATTAAAAAAAGTCAGTACAAGCTTCATTATCTTTGACTCAATAAATTTCGTTGTGATTACAAGGAAAATGACATTCATTAACCATGAAAAATTATTCTCCCTATTCGAATCAATTTACGTCACATCGAAGTTAATTCTCTAGTTATAATAGGAAAAAAACCATTAAAAATGGATTGAAAATTATTATATAATGTATCATAAATTGTATTTAGTTGTGTCTAGCATGCGATTATATTTCGCTAATACTAAGAATGCTATATCATCCGACTTGTTTTATTCCGTTCTTCTATTCCTTCATTCCTTTTTTTATGCTTCAAAATAACTCGTCCGCATCTTGCCAACGATTTAAAAGTTCCCAACTTTCAGAATATTCAAAATAACTCGTCCGCATCTTGCCAACGATTTAAAAGTTCCCAACTTTCAGAATATATCAGCTGACGAATGGTATCAGGTGGATGCAATTCGCGGTGTGAATCAGTCAATTGGGCGTGTTCTTCGACATAAGGATGATTTTGGAGTTGTCATTCTTGTTGATTCAAGGTGAAGGTTAATTCAAACTCAATTCTCGTTTCGTGAAATTTGTAGGCGATCATTTATTTACGAATTTAATATACTATCTTGTATAATTATGGTGCAAACGAAATAAGCGTAGCACGATGTTCGGATATATCCGAGGGAAAATTGTTGTTCGGGAGTGAATATTCACGTCATAAATATAATTAAATTAGCGGTTGATGAAGTTAATTAGTTGAGTAGTCGGTTACCCGAATTATCCGTCATAATTTGTTTAAATTTTTGAAGATTTTGCTCGATGCCATCAAAACGGTTTCCCTCGTGGATGCGTGGATGCTTGAAAAATTATCAAAATATTGGCCATTTTGAAAATGAATGCAAGCAGTTCTTCAAAAAAAGAAATATCGAAGTACTTATTTTGTATAATTGTTTTGCTTCGCATAATTTGTAATTCAGAATACTTTGTTGAAGCTGTGAATTTCTGTTTAATATGCTTCTAATTCTCTCCTAATTGAATTCGATGAAACATGGCAAGAATAATTGTGACCGTATTGACTTAATTCTGTGAATTATAATCGTTCATTTCATGTAGAGGTCCTTGAATACCTCTTAACTATTCTCACATTCAACTGGACGATCCCCAATATATAGTTCAACCGTATGGGGAATTTTTCTTTCTAAGCTTCAACTTAAAATATGCTGTTATGTTAACTATTATACGATAGTTTTGTAGGTATGTGTTAACCACAAGAAGATATCATCAGTTATGGAGATGGCGTCCGGATTTGTTTCTTCCCGGAAGCGGCATGAAATCGTGGAGCAGAAGAAGACAAACGATGAGGGGTTGCCTTTCGATATCGATACACTCTACTCTTCTGAAGCAGTAGCCGCGTTTGAAAAAAGTATTGGTGTCGAAGACACTGTACCGAAACGTCCAAAAAGAAGTTGTATTTTTGAGGAATTAGTATGCTTCACTTCTTTCATATCTTTTTATTTGTGAAGAGTTTTTGTAAATTTTCCATTTGTAATTTTTTCTTTACTTATGTAGTTATTATACTTCATAAACGATTTGGATCTTCTAAATAACATCCCTGATGACCAATAATTATATAAAAAATCATAAGAAAATATAGAATGCTGTCGAGTTTTTCTGTTTACTTCATTCACTAATTAGGTTGTTGGTATTAATATTTTTTTTATTTATTGTTTCTTTAATTCAATTGCAACTCGCATATGGCTTTATCATGTTCTCTTTTGTTGTGTATCGAGAAAATCTACGTTTTTAGGAAGAAGCGGAAAAGAATGAATTAGTTGATGTCAGTCATTCTGCTGATATTGACGACAGTAATATTCAGTCGGGCAGTGGTATGGTAATCCAGAAAACCAAGCCTAAACTGCGCTTAAAGGTAATTATTCATTGGTCTAGTTTTGTAAATTGTTAGCTATCAACGTTAATTTTTAATTAGCCCTGCTAATTTTCATCAATAATAAAGCAAGTAATATTTTAGCCGAACAATTCATCTTTAATCAAAGGCCAGTGCCGCCCACAGATTGGTACGCCTGAGGAAAAGATGAAAGAAGTGAGTTTTTATTTTACTTCAAATTATATTTGAAAGATGGTTGCACAATTTGTATTAGAACTGTATGATTATCTGCTTTAAAGGTAAACAGTAACTAATCAGGAACTGCTGCTAAAAATTGAAAGTTCCGTTTTCTGTTTCTCAAAAATCTTTGTAGTTGAACCATTGGAACTTTCAGCATAAATCTTTGTCGATACGTCAATCTGATTCAGATATAATGAGCGGTTGGCAAAGGTCTGCGGTGGAGTACAACAAACTAGTGAGTATTCAGGAATGCATAAAATAGAATTAATGCGGAAATTCCTTGATATATTGAAGAATTTCAATTTACGTTTCTTATGAATTTGTATTTAAACTTAACTAAGATAGGGCTATATATTGAAACCTATTTTTACATCCAATGAAACTTTCTTAGCGAAGTATTTCAGCTTCAATCTATGGAGAAATCGAAACGCATAACCCTAAAAATGGCATTAAAAAATTATGCAACGGATAATAATTTTCAAACACTGATTTCAACATTTACTATGGAAACTGTACCAAACCATTTGGAAATTTTCAAAGGTAAGATTCAAAGTTTCTCAGGCGGGTGCAAAAATTCTAAGTTTCAACCTATATAGTTATATTCTCCACTGTTCTGGATCTGAACCTATATATTGTTCCGTTCCTTCGTCGTCTCTCTGGCTATTTTTAATGCCATGCGGTTACCCTGATATTCAGATTTAACAATCAGAATTATTAAAACAGCAATTTTATTGATTCGTCTTCGAAAAGAAATGTTTAGCAACAATAGAAGTATGGTTGCATTACCATTGAAGACACTGAAGATCGGAATACTCTCGAAAGTATTAACTTTTCTATTGAGAATGATGATTTTTCAGGTCTATACGGTTATTTGTATACGAATCATCGACCTGAATTTTTAAATATATGTCGGCAACTCAAACTTCTATAAAATAGATTGAAGAATGTTGGAATATTTGTTGACAATAACTGGTAGAATGAGATGTTTATAATTTTGTCAGCAAAAAGTTATTGGTGAAGGCACCATCACTCTTCCACAAGCAGAAGTTTACGGTTTTGAAAAATTCGAACATATGGTTGTAATTAGATAATTACTCAGTAATATTTTGGATATTATTGGTTTCTATAGTGTAGAATTAAATCCCATTATCGATTTCAAGGATTTACATAGGATTGGATGTTTGAAAATTAGGAACTGAAACAACTTAGCTTAGATTAAAAGCTATAACTTGTAAGCATTTCCAACACTTGAAGGCAGAGATGGAAAATGGTAGAAGATAGTTTAATATTAAATCATAGTTTGTATCGATTTCGCATTGTTCAGGAAGGCAACTAAAGACATATGTCGTAGGCCACTTCTGGGTGTTTTTTGATTCTTGTCCAGAAATTAATGTCGATCCACAAGATCTGTATTGGCGTTCAAATATCATCATTTCATTGTAGTACTATAAATGGCTTTAGTTAGATAAGTGTTTAGACGACAAAAAAATTTCTCTGTAAGGCTTAGAAGAATCGAAATTTTTGGGAACTAAAATTTCAGTGTGGAAGTGTATAATTTTAATGAGAAATCCTTTAACTTCTATTTATTAAACATAAGTTCATTTCAAACTTGCTTTTGCTTGCATCCTTTTTTTGTTTTGTAACTGAATGATCTATTCACTTTTCTATTGATTCGTAGATTCCACGCAATCAAGTTAATTTTGATTATGTATATAGACCATTACAAAATTGGTAGATATCAAATGGCAATATAAAAATCAAATTGTTTGGTATCATTTTTACTGATTTATAACTTCAAATATTATTTCAGTGATTTAAAAAAAAATTTCAAACTGTCAAATACTTTTAGCTTTTTCCCTTGTTCATTATGTAGTTAACAAATTAACGAGGAAATAAAGATTATATGACTACATATAAGAAGCTCATCTTTTGCTGGAAGGAATTTTTCTAGTATAAAAATTGCAAAAATTATATCATGTGGTTGATATCCTGACAGTTTCCTTTTGACTGAAGTCAAGAGAAAGGTGCTTTTTTAGCATAATGAAAAATATTACTGACTTGGAATATATTACTGACCTGTATTCGGGCACTTCCATCAATTTCCTTCTACATAAATCATATTAATACTTAATATCTCTGACTTTAAAATTTTAGCCTTCATTTTGTATAAATAAAACTCATCGTTGGGTAAAAATGCCTACTTTGTATCTTTCTCCTAAACATTCAAGAATTCTAGAATTGCTTTAAAGTGTCTTTAAGTTATTTAAAAAATATATATGTGGAAAGGTTGATCGTATTTCCGCAAACTGTTGCAAAGCACAAGCGGGAAGAAGCACACTAAGACTAAATGACCTTTGTTAATAGTGACCGATTATGCTAAACACCGAGTGGTAATAAAGGTACAGTGGGTTTGGTAAAATCAAAAACCGATTACTCAGCATTAGCTTACTATACAGTGGTGGTAACTCGATTGGATTGTCCAACATATATACTATTAACAAAGAAGGAAACTCAGTAAATACCTTCAAAATCTTATGCTGCTGGAATAAGGCGCTATTTAAGTGCCTCTATGTCATCTTGCCAAACACAGAGAAAATACTTGGAGTTATTGCTCTAACAAATCATTGATACCATTCAAATCATGAAGATATCCATTCCGGTTTACGTTTTTCTAGAAATGCTTTCATACCTTCTTTTTGATCTTTCTGAAAAAGAACATTATTAAAATTGGAATAACTTAAAGCCAGAACAAGTAATTTCTATCATTTAAAATTTTCTACAAAATTTGATTTGAACAACAGCAATAGTGCTCATTAGTTAATGTCGAGAGCTATCACATATCTCAAAAGTTCTATTCAGTCTGAAAACGTTTTACTAGTTAGTAGCCACAAGTACGATAAATGACTGCAGTGTGGAATGGAAATTAAATAGATATGCAGTCAAAATAAGCCGAACACACATACCGTTGCAAAAGTAGCACGAAATAGTCGGCTTTCGTATTTAAGACCTTCTTGAAGAAAAGTTTCATAAGAATGATTAATGGCATCTTTTACAAATGATACTATCAGTGGTGAGTGTTCACTAATTTTTTCAGCTGTCTTTATAGCCTCCAATACAACCTGAACATTCGCAGTGGATAAAATTCGCTAATGTTGTCGAATTATGTTGAAATGAAATATATATGTAAGTTTAATTATGCACTCATCATTATTCTATCCAAAATTCTCATAGTTTGGTACTGATAGGGTTCCGTGCAAAACTCAAAAATTACATTAGAGTAATCAGCCAAGTTCGAGGTTGAACAAAGCAGCTATTCGAGCTTAAGCGTTGAAAAAATTACTTGATCAACTGGAAATATTTTTGAAACAAGACCACATTCTTTCGCTTCCCGTGCTGTTATGGGTATTCCTGTTAAACAAACTTCCATGGCTAAAGATTTACCAGTAACGCGCAACCATCTTTGGGTACCACCAGCACCTGCAAATTGCAGTGTCAGTGTTTAAAGAATAAATTTCAAAGTAATTTCACAACCTGTCAGAAAGACGGCCTGCATTACCCTTCTTAATCCCACAAATCGACTGGAAACCACATTTCACTAATAAAAAATCACTATAGTTTCAAAAGCCTGCATATGAAGTTACGAGAATATTTTCCTTATCTAAGTTTGTTATATAACCGATAAATGAATTTTAAATTCATGGTCAAATTCCGCCGCAAATGTTTTGAAAAGTTCAAATGTTTTGCAAACTTAATATCAATAGATCCATTCATGTACTGTCGTACACTCCTAAGAGTAGCTGTTAAATTTCGAAAGCTATCTTCCTGACTTTTAACTCCCAGTTAATAAAGAAAGAATCATAGCAACTTCATAGAATGTTCTCAAACATTAATGCCATATATGTATAGTATAAGTGTTTGAGAATATTTTCTATGAAAACACTAAAATAAGTGCAAAACTTTACCTGGTATAGTTCCGATAATAACTTCTGGTTGTCCAAATTTAGCTTTCTCTCCGGCATAAATTATATCGCACATCATAGCCAATTCACAACCACCACCAAGTGCATGACCATTTACGGCAGCAATGATAGGTTTCTTCATCTTCGATATTTGGGTCCAGTTTTGCAATGCATTTCCGGATGATATCGCTTCATTTTGAATAGTACATAGCTCTTTTATATCGGCTCCTACTGTAATACATAGATATATCTCATTCGTACTTAAATATTTATATAAAATAGTTACATATTCCAGCGAAGAAAAAAGGATTTACCAACGACCGTGAGTTCCCCCTTTCAGTGCTATGTAATGCTATCAGAGTGGAAAATATTTTGGAGGAAAAAGGAAAAGAATGCTTCGTTACACTCTCCCTCAAACTTCACCCCAATGATTTAACAGAACTCGACTGAGTTATGCTTAGGGCATGCTAGGATCATGCTTCTTTTTCAGTTATACATAATGCAATTTAAGCACATGTCATAAAGAAGCAACAACTATTTTTATCATTAAACATAATTTTGCAAAAAGAGAATTAATTAAGCAACGGAAAAACTTCATCTACATCCGTCAAAAGGGATTTCTTGCGAAATGAATGCTCCACAAAGCATAGCAGTTCAAATATTTTTTCCAAAACTATCAGTAAAGATAAAAGACAAGAATAAAAAAATGTGTCTGACTTGAGAATACATGTTTGGCACCTGTTATTACCACTGCTCCAATTGAAGTATCATTATCAAATTCAACCAGTGTATCTGAAAGCTACAAAGCGAGAATTATTTGTCTTCGTCAATCTCCTCCTTTTAGAATAAATAAAAGAACAGAAGTAATTGCAACATTATATAACAGTAGTGAATTTTCCATTTTCGGGATTTATTCAATGGTATGTTAACATTAAGCAAAATTTATTCTTTTCCTTGGATATTGATCCTACTTCAAAGATGGCATCGGCCAGTGACATCATTATGATACTACGTTAATTCAAATATTCCACACACATCCTCTTTAATTAATATTCTCCTTTTTTGCTTTCGAATGAATTAATTTATTAGTGGACTTACTTCCTGCATAAGTTGACTGCATAATGCATTTAATGCTTTAGGCCTATCAAGCTTAATTAAGCCAACATTCATTTTATCACCGACTCTTTCGATTTGGATCATATGCACACCAGCTGCAACGGATAAATATTCTAATATAAACAAAAACGTGGAACATAAGCGAAACAAACGTAAACTATGTTAAACATACATAAAATGGAATAATATTATTTAAATTACGCTTGATAGAGGAAGTGTTTTGCGCTTACAAGCAAAGTTACATCGTTGAAACTTCCAAGGATCTGATGATATTCTCGTCGAACTACAGGCCAATAACCACAAATGCCGTATAGCTTTTGACATCTCCTGCAATTATTTCATTAACTGCTAAAAATGTTAAGAGAATTGTTTAAGGAGTACCGCAATGAATGGAAGGATCGTTAATAGAAATGCTTTCAACATTAAATAATTTCGAATAACAGGTAAGGAAATTTTCATTACTATCTGAAGATTCGAACAATGCGAGGGCAAATGCCGGGAATTCAACACAAAACACTCGATAAGCGATAATATCAATAACGATATTCCTATCTCATTCCTTTTTCCTTTCATTATCTTTTTCTCCAATGAAATAATCTCTTTCTACATGTCTATTCATCTGATAAAACATCCACTGATCACCAAACACAGAAAAACCCGACATTTTATAAAAGGAAAACGGGCAATAAATCCATTCACTCTTATCCACTCACTCTTATGCACTCACCGTTGAAAAAGATGTAAATGTAATTCGGTATGTGTTGGCACGAATCTTCTCCATTTCGTTAGCATAAAGCTTAGTCTATCTGAACCAAACTTAGGCAGGTCTTTTTTTGATTAGCGTAGTTTACCTGAGCCAACCTAATATCTTAAATAACACATCGCATCTCCCACTCTTCTCGATTCTATTCCTCAAGCCTTTCCCGTTATATTTTTATAGTTCTTAAAGAAAGGTATCTCCAGGTATACTTTTAATATTATTCACATAAAATATATTACAAAAGGTAAATTTTCCACCTTTAGTTACCCATATTGCATATAAGCAATATTGTCCAAGTAATATCTGTGATGATGCCATCTCCAAGTACTCTAAATAGACAATTATCAGGAATATTTCGTATTCGTAAATGCAATGGCATATTTTGAATGAATTTACATACAGTTATACAATTCCTAATTTTCATTCATTCTTTAAAAAATGGATGGAAATGTCGATGAAAGAAAGGAAGTGATATGAGAGAAAGAGAAAGAAAGAAAATATTGCATTTATGAGAGAACAAAGTTTATCATCAAATGATTAATCAAGTATGGTTTTCAAACATTGGGAATGAAATTATACTTTTAAAGAATTCTTTTTATGGATTTCTTAGGGGACCTTTTTTGATTGTAATCCGGAGTTTATACAGCCAGACTAATTATATATTGGCAATCAAGCGCATTACAGTGAGCAAAGAGATGTCCTGCAGGATGACCTTTACTCTTTACATAGTTGGAGTTGGATTTTAAACATTGCGTAAATTGCTTATAAGAGTAACTGCCAGATTGGATGACTTCTGCAATATTTCGACATTGCACTTTGAGATATGAATTGAAACTGTTTTATATTTGTCTTATAAATATTCAAATATGACAATCTTATAGTTTTATGGATTTAATATAAATTTATTTCGACATATAATTTGGTTTTTCCAACACATACAGAAAATCATATTGTTCATACAATACTGTTTGATTAATCATTAATCGATAAAGTAGTAGTAAAAGTTAAAAAAGGAAGAGTTTATAAACTAATAGAAACGTTTTTGACTAGAAAAATTGCGAACGTCAGTTTCATTTTCCTTTTTTGTGAAAACTTGGAAAGGTCCTTTTGTTGTAGTCTTAATTCTGATTAGAATCTGTGCAGGTATATTATCAAGGGTAGCTCTCGAATATGTTCGATTAAGGTGAAGAAACTTGTACTCTCAATCAATTGTTACTAAAGTTATATCAAACAATAACTTTGAATTTTCAGCCGGACTGTTTTTAGAGTAAAACGAACCGGACGGTTCTTCTGTTTTCCTTCTACATTCATCCATGCCAGTCTTTTCAAAAACTTTCTTCATTACATTTTGAGATATAAAATGTGAATAGTAAACTCTATTTTACAATAAGGAATAGTATACTTTCCACCCCAGCTAATAAATTGTTCTCATTCCACCAGTTATTTTTATACTTCTCCTCATACATTGTATGAAAATCCCATTCTTGGTATTTATCGATTATTTGTTTATCTTTGGCTTCGTACGTTACCAATAAAAAAGTCAAGGATATATGAAAAACTTTATATTCAAAATTGAACTTTGTATGGAAAATTTGACTTCCAACTTGTAAGCATGACTTTTTCAACATAATAGCATAGCCTATTAAAGTGTAGAAAAACTGCGACGAATTTTATTATAATACTTTAATTTCGTATTTCCTATCTTTCATCAAATATGAAGTGAAAGTGATATAATATCCAGTATTAGCAACAAAATATTAGTAGGAAAAAAAATAAACGATTAATATATCTTTAAATATCTTTAAATCTTTAATCTATCTTTATCTTTTAAATATCAAAAATATATCTTTAAATATCAAATGGATATAATTTCAAATTACACCGTAATACATGGTTTACGGTAAGTGATGATCACTTATAACATAGAAACTAAATCAGTGAACTAATATATACCATGCTAGAATCGATATTTGTCTAATATTTGCCAAAAAATGGTATTTAGTTGACAAAATAAGTCGTTAATAGAATCATCTTTCAATGTTCATACTGCAACATTTTTGCTTAATGTCTTCTAACTCTTTTGTAGGTTCATCATGCGTTTCGCTTTTATGATAAGTCCATTCAATTGGTGGTGAAAATTTTATTGTGAAGATTGGACGCCCCTGACTTGGAGCATAATAATTGATCATTCCTGGAATTACGGGAAGAAAATGTATCATTTTAATTTTTTTGAAATTTCGAAAAATTTTAGCAATATTATCAGCAAAATCAAATTTGTTTGTGAAAATATTTTGCTTGAAAATACAGAAATATTGAGTTTTTCGAAACATATCAATTTTCAAGTTTATTGTAGAATCTATCAAGCACTCGGATATTTGTAGTTTCTTCTATCAAATTTAGCTCTCTTTTTCTGCAAAATTCGACTGAGTCTTTTTTGAAATATAAAACAAACGTTAGACGAATGTCAGAGGTGCGCAGTTGAATTTAAAAAAATTGCTAGTTGAGATACATTAAAGTTTTATACAAAGTAAAATAGCAATTTAAAATCGTATCTAGGATATAGTGACTCAATTATCAAGTGATTTTGTTTAAAATTCTACTCAATTAATAATAATCCATTTCCGTTCTTCAATGAAAAAAGCGCTGAAGATAAAAATATTTTTATCAAATTAATGAAAATAAATCAAGGACAAACCATCTGACGAAATACAGCTGGAAGCAATTTGCATAACTAAAATAGTCGTCAAAAATTTCCACATATTTTTTCGTTGATTTTAGGAGTGGACACAAATCTGTTTGAATATCGATGAGCTTACGGAGATGTATGAATTGTTGAAACTAGCCGAACTAATGTTATATACTTTGTACAACAATGCAAAATGATTAAAGAATATAGCAAGGAGAAAGCAAGAGAGAAACAGATGAAAGCTACGGCGCAAAAAAGACTGAAAAAGTTCTTTGCAAACAATTTGATATTTGATGAAAGCTGTAAATGGTGCTGGAATAATACGGGAAGGCCTTAATTGCTTCCTCCACAAACAAAAATTTGATCAGCTGGAAATCTTTGCAAACTGCAATAAATCAATATACAGATATGATCATACTTGAGATTGCTTAAATTGTGATTTACTTGCTTTGAACCATTTCACATTTCGTCTTTAAATTTCCTTTGAACTTTAAAACATCTTAAAAATCCTTTTCGTTTGGCTACGCTATTCTTTGTCTCGTTCTTTGTTTGACCCCGATGTTCCCAACAATCCTAGCAATTACTGGTAGTTATTTTAGTAGTTACTTATCAAATAACCATAATGCAATGAAATATTTGGTTATTAAAATTTCATTGTAAACATATTATTATTTATCAAATATGTCGACAGTGTTGATATTTTTCATTTGTAAACAATCAGATGCGCCGAACAATGGTTGTAAAAAGTGAATTTGAGTAATTGTTAAAAGTTTCGACAAGAAATTATGATCAAATGCGTAATATGTTGCATAAATATGCTTATGGCTAAAATTGTGTAAACAAAAGTGATCTAAAATCAGTACTGTTAAGTGATCTCATCTATAAAACCTGAATTTGGGTCATTTGGTACTGGTTATCGACCCACTCGAATAATATTTCCTGTTGAGTAATCTCATCTATAAACCTGAATTTAAGTCATTTAGTACCGGTTATGGGACCACTCGAATGGTACTTTAAGAATGTTAATGTAATCCAATTTAAAAATATTAGTAATTATGTAAGTGAG